GAAAAATTTTTTTTGGCCACCTAGTTTTCCAAAATCTCGCCGGGCCTGGGGCCTCTCCTTTTTGGGGGGGGAAATCAGGGGGGGGGCTTTTTAAAAAAAAAAGTTCCCCCCGGTTTCCCGATTCAATTCCGGGGGGGAACCACTTGTAGGGCCCCCTTAAAGACGCTCCTTTTATTTTCCGCGTCATCCCCCCGGTGTGGGGCTCATCAACTATGGGTTTTTTTTGAAGATGATTCTATTCTACGGGTCATCGTCCGCATCTGGGGCTCATCAACTATGGGTTTCTTTTTCACAAGATGCAAACCAACCGCGGTAGGTTTGCTCAGTCAGTCAGAGCCGCCGTACCCTGGCTGGAAGCCCGGCGAAGCCCAGCTATGGGGAAACCAAGAAGAAAGGGGAAGGGGCACCGCGTCGCACCTCTTCGATGCCCCCAAAAGGAAAAAAACATACATCAAAGAGAAACAGAATGCACCGCGAATTCTTCTTACCGGACGGAGCCGAGCTCGCCGGCTGCCAAAATGCTGCCTGGTCGGCCGCCGCTGAAGCGGGTGCGCCTTTACCCCGACCCACGTGCCCCGGCCGCGGCCGGTCCCTCGGCGCACAGCGCCGCGGGCCGCTCGGGCCGCGCCGAGGACAGCGCCGAAGCCCGCCGACGCCGCTCGCCTGCGCAGCGCCGCCGCTGCCCTGCGGCACTGCCGCCCATCGCCCGGCCCTCACCGTGCCACCGCCCACTCGACCGACGCCGCCCGCGCCTCTTCCCATAGGCGGGGTGAGCGGCCGGCGGCTGCACTCGACGGCGCGGCGTCGTGTCGGGCGCTGCGGAGAGCGCGTGGCTGCTCCTCGATCCCGACGAGGACAACGGATCGCCGCTGCGCGGCTGGACCGCGTCTTGCGACGCCGCATGCCGCCGGCTCAAGCCCGTCGATCTACGTGCGGTGCGGCTGCAGTCCGAAGGCGGCGGCGGCGGCGGCGGCGGCGGCTCTGACGGCGCTCGGCGGCACCGTTGCCGACTACGCGGAGATGCTCGATGCGCTCGACGACGCGCTCGACGTCTCCTCGCCGCTGCGCGCCGACTCGCCGGTCTCGATGCAGGTGTGCGCGCCTCTCCGACCGCGTAGCAGCAGCCCCCTCCGTTGCGTGGCCAGGAGGCGCGGCGGCATCCCCGCCCGACGGTCTTGTCCACCCCGCCGTGCGGCGGCGTTGCGTGCAGGCTCTCGTCGCCGCAGCGGCCGACCGTTCGCAGCTTCTCCTCAAGGCTGAGGCCCTCGAGGCCTAGATGCGGAGTATCTCCCCATATCTCCCCGTCTCTCCCCCATATCTCGAGGCCTAGAAGCGGACTCTCTCCCCACATCTCCCCACATCTCCCCGTCTCTCCCCCATATCTCGAGGCCTAGAAGCGGACTCTCTCCCCACATCTCCCCACATCTCCCCCCTCCCTCGGGCCCTAGAAGCGGGAATACGGGTTGATCTCCCCAGATCTCCCCAGATCTCCCCAGCTCTCCCCAGCTCTCCCCAGCTCTCCCCAGCTCTCCCAAACTCTCCCCAAACTCTCCCCAAACTCTCCCAAACTCTGCCCACCTCTGCCCGACTCTCGCGCAAGGCGCTCGACGACCTCGACGCAATCAAAGAGAAGGTAGCCGACCGCACCGGCTGGCGCGAGCGGCGCGCCGCGCTGCTGCTCGCCGTCGGCCGGCACGGCGAGGCGGGCGAGGAGTACCTCGCGCTGCTGAAGCGCAACCCGGAGCACTTCGGGTGGCACGCGGGGCTGCAGGCGGCAGCCCACCCACTAGTCCACCCACTAGGTAGTGCTCTCCTCCCCGGCGGCTCCGCTGGCAGGAGGAGGAGGGGTCCTCCTCGCCCTTGCGCCTGAGCCTGGTCGCGAGCAGCTTGGCGCAGTCTTTCTTCTCGCTCTCTCTCTCGCTTGACCCCCTCCTTATCACGCCCCTTCCCACCACTCGCTCAATATCGTCTACGATGTCCCATCGCCTCCTCTCCTATCGTCGACTTCCTCACCGCATTTCGAATCCCCACCAGGCCGCCACGCTGCAGAGCGGCGACCCCGACCGAGCGGTCGTTGCCAGATGACAGGAGATGCGATGCCGTCCTCAGGCGGCCGAGCTGCAGACGGCGACCCCGACCGAGCGGTGGCTGAGCGCGGAGGTGACGGCGGAGGCGGAGGCGACGCTGGCCGCGCTGTACAGCAAGCTGCAAAAGGCCTACCCGAAGAGCCAGGCGTGCATGCGGCTGCCGCCAGTGTGTGTCCACCTCCAGAGAGGCTTGACTCCGAGTGTGAAGAGGGTAGGCGTGCATGCGGCTGCCGCTCGACTTCACGCGCTCGCCGCCCGCCTTCGCCGCCGCCCTGGACGCGTACGCGCGCAGCTACGTGCGCAAGGGCGTGCCGTCGCTCTTCGCCGACCTGAAGCCGCTCTGCGCCGAGGGCGCGTGGTCGCGTGTGCTCTTCGGCGAGCTCGTGGCGGGGTGGGTGGGCGCGCTGGAGGCGACGGGCGCCTTCCCGGACACTTGCGAGAAGGAGCCCCCGTCGACGCTGATGTGGGCGCGCGTGCTGCTGGCGCAGTACTACGACAGCTGCGGCGACACTGCGGCGGCGCTGTCGCAGCTGGACATGGCGATCGGCCACACGCCAACCTGCCTCGACCTCTACCTCTTCAAGGCAAGATGCGCCCGAGATCGTGCTCGAGATCGCGCCGAGATCGCGCCGAGATCGAGCCGAGACCGCGCCGAGACCGAGCCGAGATCGCGCCGAGATCGCGCCGAGATCGAGCCGAGATCGAGCCGAGATCGAGCCGAGATCGAGCCGAGATCGAGCCGAGAGCAGACTTGCCTCGACCTCCTCCCTGCCCGCTCCCAGGCGCGCGTGTACAAGCACGCGGGCCACGCCTCCGCCGCTGCTCGTTGGATGGAGGAGGCGCGCAAGATGGACCTCGCCGACCGGTACCTCAACACCAAGGCGACTGAATTAAAGCTAATTAAATTCTTTAAGTAATGAATGAATGAATGACCTCGCCGACCGGTACCTCAACGCCAAAGGCGACTTAACTAAAGTCAATTAAAAGTAAGTAGTTCATTAATGAATGGCCTCGCCGACCGGTACCTCAACGCCAAAGGCGACGCGCTACCTGCTGCGCGCGGACTGCGTCCCCGAGGCGGAGGCGAGGACCGCCCTTCCCGACGCAGGGTCTCGCTTCACACCGCGCCGCGGCAGGCCGTCCTCCTTGTCCACAGGCGACGATCGCCCTCTTCACCAAGGACGGCGGCTCGACCCTCCACGAGATGCAGTGCGTCAATAATTCAGTAATTAAGTAAGTAGTTAATTAATTAATGGCCCTCCACGAGATGCAGTGCGTCTGGTTTGAGCTCGAGGCTGGCGGCGTCGTCCCGTGCCTTGAGGGACTCCTCTTGTCTTAGGTGCGTCTGGTTTGAGCTCGAGCTGGCGGCGTCCTACCTGCGCACGGGCGACTACGGCCGCGCGCTCAAGAATTTCGCGCACGTGGAGCAGCACTTTGCAGACATTGGCGAGGACCAGTTCGACTTCCACACCTACTGCGTGCGCAAGATGACCCTCCGCGAGTCCGTCGAGAGCGCCCCCTCGCCAGCTGGCCGCTGTGAGGAGCGCCTCTTCACACCTGCAGCTGTGAACAGGTGCGGGGCCGGGTCCTCCGCGACAGCTGTGAACAGCGTCTCCTCACACCTGCAGCTGTGAACAGGTACGTCAAGATGGTCCGCTTCGAGGACACGCTGCACGGCCACGCCTTCTACGTGACCGCCGCGTGCGGCATCATCGACACCTACCTCCGCACCCGCGACCGTTGGGCAGCTGTTCACACGCGCAGCTGTGAACAGGCATCGTCGACACCTACCTCCGCACCCGCGACTGTTGGGCAGCTGTTCACACGCGCAGCTGTGAACAGGCATCGTCGACACCTACCTCCGCATCGTGGCCAAGCCGGCGCGCGACGCGGCGGCCGCCGCCGCGGAGGAAGCCGGCGGCGGGCTGAGCGTGCAGGAGCGTGCAGAAGAGCTCGGGCCAGCTCGGGCCATCTCGGGCAATCTCGGGCCATCTCGGGCCATCTCGGGCCATCTCGGGCCATCTCGGGTGATCTCAGCGTGCAGAGCGGAAGAAGGCCGGGGTGACTGACAAGTAGCAGTCCGTCAGTGGCTCGCTTCTCCACTCGTGCAGGAGCGGAAGAAGGCCGAGTCCAAGCGGCGCAAGGCGGAGGCAAAGGCGAAGGCGGAGGCGGAGGCGCAGGCGAAGCGCGACGCGGACGCCAAGGGCAAGGACGGCAAGGGCGGCAAGAAGGGGGGCGGCAAGGAGAAGCCGCCCGACGACGACCCCTACGGCGAGGCGCTCGCGTCGGTCGAGGCGCCGCTGGCCAAGGCGCGGGCTGGGGGCGCGGTCCCGCTGCTGCCCCACGCGCCGGCAGTGGACCCGTGGATGCATGCATGGACTAGGCGGCGGGCTACATGCGGACGCTGCTGCTCCACGCGCCGGCGGAGC